GTTCATAGATTCAATTAATCCTACACTGTATGTGCCTAGGGTCTCACCCTGGCAGCTGAGACAGGCCACCCTAACCGACTTGGTGGCACCACAGTGTCAGCCTTGTCAGGATAGGTCTCCCCAGACCGACCCACTGGCTGTGAACATTCTAAACTAACACGAGTCTCATTAAGTGTCCAGTTTAAGAGTAGTACACAGAAACATACCAAGGGAACATGAATCAAATATGCACCTTTATTCATTTACAATAAATTCATAAAGTACATCATTCTGATTGAAGCTAAGGGCATACAAAACTGTCTAACAGATAAATCTCCCTAGGCTTATCCAATGGCTGTGAACATTTTAAACTAACACGAGTCTTATAAGTGTCTAGTTTAAGCGTATTACACAGAAACACACCACTATAACATGAATCAAATATATACTTTATTCATTTACAATAAATGTCATAAGTACATCAATCTGATTGGAGCTAAGGGCATACACTGTATAACAACTCCCACTTGCACTTAGGTCTAATCTTGTACAGACCGGAGTCCTAGTCTTTCCACGTGTTTCTCAAACACTTTCTATGTGAGTGGCTTACTCAATGGGTCTGCTACATTTTCCGCTAACGCTACCTTCTGAATCAGGACGTCCCCTCTACCAACAATCTCCCGCAGTACGTGGTACTTCCTCTCGATGTGCTTCGACTTCGAGTGGGCTCGTGGCTCCTTAGCCTGAGCGATAGCTCCATTGTTGTCACACAACAACGGGATGGGTGATGTGCTGGATGGAACTACTCCCAATTCGTGAATGAACTTTTTCATGCACACGACTTCCTTGGCAGCTGAAGGGATGAGAGATCCATCGTATGGACACCCAAATCTTGCGGAATAAAGGGGCGAATTTCAAAATTTTTTCTCTCCCTTTCAACTGGGAATCGCATTCCCTATTTAGAAAATCAAATTTTTAAGGATCAATATTGAACCATAAACTGAACCAGATCTGAACCAAAAGGAGTAGGAGAAGATTATACCTGATACAGAGAAAATGTATCTCCCAACGAAGGTGTTCACGCCCAAGGAATGATCCAAAGACTGCTCCCATTGAAATTGGTGCAGTGTAGGATGGAGCAGAATCAACAGTATTCTTCTCCAAGAATTTTGTCCGTTGCAAGAAACAGTAGGATGGCATGTGAGCACAACTTCCTATCAATTCTTTCTCAAAGAACTGATGTCAAGATCGAATCTTGACTTCTCCCACAACTGGAGATCGAATTGGATGTCTGGCGGCTGCAGGAAGGAGGCGGCAAGAAAGATCTTTGCAGGGATTGCAGAAATCTTTCTTCTGTGATTTCAACACTAAAGAGGATCTAATTATCTCATGCTTCTAAAGGCTACCGCCCCCTCCTTCATTTTGTAAACCCAAAAGATCAGTTCCTAATCCAATTAGGAGCTGCTTATCCAAATTATATTTGGATCAGACCTCTCTTTAGGTGATAAGGATAAACCCTTATCTTATTTGTAGATCAGATAAGCCATCTCCTAATCTAATTAGGAGGTTTCTAGATCTGAATATGATTCAGATCTGGACTCTTTGAGTGGATAGGGTCTAAGCCCAATCCTATTAGCTGATCCACTTC